TATCTCAACAATGAGCGGTCTTCCCTAGCCTTTCGGCAAAACTTCTGAAAATTTGGCACCTGTTAGAAAATTTGTAGCGTTCTGACGAGTTTACGTTCTCTTCAACTATTCTTTAATTTATTTTGAGCGAATAAGAAGGATCCAGAAAAAAGTAACAATATCAAATGTAGCATCAAACTTTCTTTAGTGTGTTTCAACTTTCTCCACGACAATAAATGGTGTGCGTTTTGGAGATATAGGTGATGAGTTATTGGTGAATTTATAAAAAGAAAATAAATGTATTAACACAAAATAACAATATTTCGGGGTTCATTTCTTGAATTCCGGAAAGAACTTCCGAGCCAATGCAAACGTTCCGATACGCAGTTTCTCAAGGTTGTTGTTTGTCGTGAACCTGCAAAATATAGATTAAAACTTGAAGTTTTTCAAAAATAGGCCTGAGATCCGCATTCCGTGGCCTCCTTCTCAAAACGCTGATTTTTTTGGGAGTTATGAACCCTCAAGTCTCTATAAACTCCGGCCACATTGAGACCGGACGCTACTTCTTTGAACGACAGAAGGAATGCTTCCGATCCGCTTCTCTTCGTATCGGTGTTTGCTGACGACGTAGAAGTGCGCAGTAAACGCCGCCTGAAAAAAAAACCTATTGACAGGAATATTTGAATGAGATATTTGAATGAAACCCTCTCGCTATTTTTATACGGCAAACCTGAAAAAGTCGATTGCAGCTCTAAGCTTCAAACAAAAAAACGTACATCGGGCCGAGAACTACCAGCAAGCCTATGTTGAAGTTTAAACCAGAAACTGGTTCGGCCGCTCCTTCATCGAGCGACAGGAGGCCGTCTGAAAAAAAAACCTATTGAAAAAACTATTGACAGAAATGTTATAATGAGATGAAAAAAAACGGCTTTCGGCGGTTTTATGGCTATCGGCCCAAAGTCCGGGCCGCCCAGTTTGATACACAAGCTGAATGACGAATGATAATGGCCTTTTGTGCGCCAGCGCATTTTTCGAATTGGCGCGCGAAAAGCTAATGGCGTTTTCATCGGAAAAAAAACGAAAATTTCTTCGAACGCAAAGAATTCTCCAAAAGAAAAATTAGTATTTTTTTGGAGCAACTCTGGCGCGCCGATGAAAACGATTTTCCGTTTTGAAGCATGCTTCGTTTCTCCGATGAACTCGCCATAAGAAAAGCTGAGGCTTCATTCAAGCTATGTAGAAGTTTGGCGGAAAAATATTGGAGGCTTTGATCAAAGCTGAAAATTTGGCTTCGCCAGATACTTACGCTTTTCCTTCGACGTTGAGGAAAGCCAACGCGCAAAGTTTGTCGAACTCGTAGACGAGTGGCGGCTTCCGTGCTCCTTTCCGAGTACACTTTGGTGATTGGCCACCCCGAGACTCGCGTTGAGCGGAGGAATCCAGGCTGGAGTCGTGGTGATTGGTGGACGACGCGTAGGATGTCGTAGCCATCGACTCCAAGCGATGGCTATGACACCAAGCAGATGTCTGCTAGCTCCGCCAACTCTGGGTGCCGAAGGGCGGCTGGCGTCGTTGTGTAGTCGATTGGCGTCTCTGCAAGTCGGCATTGTTAAGGTATTGGGTCTGATCTTCGGAGCGGTTTTTTTATTGTTTCTGAAAACCAGACCACTGTAGAAATGACAGTTTCGATTCCTATTCTGATCGAGGGGATCTTTGCCATTTTTTGAAGACCCATTAAGAGATATTTTGTCGCCGGATAGGTCACAGTTTTGACTTCCCTCCCAGTCCACATAGTTTTTGCTATTTTTGGAAAAGTTACATAAAGATTAGAAGATCGTGATCTCATAGTTATGCGTCGTCCAGCATTTCATGCTTGACCTCTTAAAGTTGAGGTCACCAAATAGGTCAGTTAGAGATTATTTTCCTTATGATGTAGGATTTTTTTTTTGCAAATCTTCCGAAAACTTGAACTAATTCTGATTTTCAATTGTTTTGAGTTCATCTTTTCAAAGTCTGTCGAGGAACCGGCGAGAAAAGTTGGTTCGAACGGAAAAATGAATATAAATACCTCGTGAGATCCGAGGCCTCTGAATCTGTGGGCGAGCTGGCTCGAACAGCTCGGGGCGTAATTCTCACTTCATCACATCTTGAATGCTGAAAATAGATTTGATAGAAGTTGAGAGGGAAACATAGGCGAAAAAAAAAATATATGGAATGCGAAGAAACTTCGAAACCGCAAATTCCTTTGAACCACAAAGATTACGAGACCGTCAGAAAGTATATAATTAGCGC